TTTTTTACCGTACTTATTCCTAATGTAGTGTTGTGTGCCCCTTCGAGCAGCATTCATGAAAACCATTCACGCTCCACACTTTCGTTATCACCCCCTTCACCCTTGTGATGGGAATTGTCACCATAGTCTGTCAAGAGATGAGATAAGTTGAGATAAGATAAGGTGTTATAAGAAGTCAATGTTTTGTGTTGTTGGCCTGTCGAGCAAGTTAGTGAGAGCCGATTGTTCATCTAGTCTAATGCCTAGTTTAAAGCTGTTTTTCGAATTTAGTATTGTTTTTGTGTCTACCAGTAAATCAGTAATATGATATGTGTTCGCTCATTTTAGTTTTAAGGCGATGAAGGACTTGTAGAAGAAGAATTTCCCTACAATGATATGAGTTGAATTTCACATAGCCATGCTTTACCAAAAGTTGTACTCATCCAGGCACCCGTGGACTGCAGTTTCGACCTCGCATTGGTCTTATGAACACCCTTGGCGGGAGTCGAACCGCGACTGTGCAGGATGGGAGCTTGACGACACGCTAACCACTCGGCCACACTGCCACGAGCGTGAACGCGAGTAGCCTCTAATCTGATGGCCAGTTGCGCAATGATCTGAGGCCCGTTTTCTTTGTGCGGAATCGACCAATTCAGGCGCTGAAGAACCGATTGAAGAACTCGAATAGCCAATAGGCTGAGAGATAGGATAAACTGGCCTATCAGAACAAAGAGGCAATATGAAATTGCCTATATAAACAAGATTGAGCGCGTTGTCTCAAGCGACTCTTACTTCTACCTCCTTTCCGCTTCTTCACACTGCGATGGTCGGTTACCTGGAATTCAATTTGACTTATATTTTGGCGTGCGGTAATTAGCTTTCATGTCGGCCAAACCGGTGTACAAATGGGCAATGCATGCTGGGAGCTTTACTGCCTCGAGCATGGTATCCATCCCGATGGGTGTGTACCTGCTGATAAAATAAATAGCAGCGACGACTCTTTCAACACATTCTTTGGTGAGACCGGCGCGGGCAAGCACGTACCTCACGCCGTATTCGTGCATCTTGAGCATTCCGTCGTAGACGAGGTCAGGACGGGTACTTATCGACAATTGTTTCACCCTGAGCAACTAATTGCGGGTATGGAGGATGCCGCCAACAACTACGCGCGCGGTTACTATACGATAGGTAAGGAAATTATTGATCTTGTTCTTGATCGTGTCAGGAAATTGGCTGACTAATGCACCGGCTTGCAGGGCTTCTTGATATTCATTCGGTGATGGAAATGGCTCAGGCTCCTGATGGAGCGCCTCAGATTTTGACTATGGGAAAAAATCGAAGCTCCAATTTTCAGTTTACCAGGCATCCAGAATATCTACCTTAGTAGTCGAGCCCTATAATTGTATCCTCACTACAAGTACTACATTGGATAAATCAGATTTCGCCGTCATAATAGACAATGAGGCTATTTATGACATATGTCGGTTAGTAATGCTGTGTTGATTGATTCATTATTTTCCCACTTTAACCAACACTCTGTCAGGTCCACATTCAAAGCGGAGAGAGGCCGTTATTGAACTGACTGTTTGGCCTATCAGGCGGTTCAGGTTATTATATGATGGACGATGTATGTCTAGATTCCTCCTAGAAAGAAAACGGACCGTCTTGGTTGAAGTGGGAAAATAATGAATCAATCAACACAGCATTACTAACCGACATATGTCATAAATAGCCTCGTTGTCTATTATGACGGCGAAATCTGATATATCTAATGTAGTACTTGTAGTGAGGATAGAATTATAGGGCTCAACTACTGAGGTTGATATTCTGGGTGCCGGGTAAACTGAAAATTGGAGCTTAGATTTTTCCCATAGTCAATAGTGAGGCGCTCCATCAGGAGCCTGAGCCATTTCCACCACCGAATGAATATCAAGAAGCACTGCAAACCGGTGGATTGGTCATCCATCAACCATCATCCATTCATCCATCAATCATTCGTCATCCATCCACCCACTATTCGCTTGACTAAATTTGGCCTTTTTGAATTTTTGCAAGCATTATGTTATCGCTCAGTTCAAAGCCCTCCTTAGGATCTCTTGCCCTAGCCTAGCATCCATCATCCATTCATCCATGATTGATTCATCCATCATCCATCAGCCTGGGCTCGTCCACCTGCTCCAGCCTCTCCATGCAGACGAGTCCGCCGTTCTGGTAAGCCTCGGCCGGCGAAATGGGCCCTGGGCAGTCGGGCCCTCGACCCGACGACCATCAGTACCAACCGTGCGCCCGGCTCAGTCTGCCGGTGGCCGGCCTCGGACCGAGGGAGTTGTGGCCAGACGCGACCGGACCTGGCCGCAGTCGGTCATATCGCGAGCCCACGCCTCGACGCCTCCCGATCTCGCGACCGGACCCGCCTCGGGTGCGCCCGGGGGCGCAGACTCCACGTCGAGCTTCCTCCTGCCAAGAAGCTGCGACCTCTCGGAGGCGTTCAACGAACCGCCGACAGCCTCCAAGTCCAGGCGTCGGTGTTCTCGGGCCGCCTTCCTCACAACCGACGTACAGCAGTTGGCTCACTTCGACTCGCAAGAAGAGAGGCCTTTTCATTGCCAATTTCCTGGTAAGTTCAAAATCACTTTATCCGTTTGCTTCACTTTTGCCGTCGCGACCATACGTCGATTCTTCAAAACTGTGACCGCCACACTCAAATGGGTAGGCCTCATGATGTAATTGAACACCGCCCAACTTTCGAAAGTATAAAGACCAAGATGGTGTGGTCTTTTTTGTGGTCGCAGTCTCCTTCCGTTGTATACAAGTTGTTTGACCTTGTTTTCGCCATCCCTTAAGAGTCAGTCTCTATATCAGTCCTTAAAACACACTAAATGAACTAATCTTTTCTTGGCGCAAACCAACAGGCTCCTGTTTCCATTCAGGCTGATTTGTGCTTTCTTTCAAATGAAATGGAATCTAACCATTTTATAGAAGTTGTTTGACTTTGTTTTCGCAACTCGGTCATATTGGTAGGAAGACTTAGAGGAGCGCACCTAGTCCGCAGTCCATTGCATCATCATTTCCAGACTACGATGAGGCTAAACGTCTGAGAATGCACCACATCCACGGTCCTACTCTGGAAATGATCATGCAGACAATGGACTCCGGACTAGGTACGTTTCTCTAAGTCTTCCTACCAATATGATCGAGTTTTC